CTCTCTCTCTCTCTATCTACACACACACACACACACACATACACACACATACACGCACACGCCCTCGCAAAGCTGATCGATGCCTACTTCTCCTCACCGACAGCAGGACACCATCTGCAGCTGCAGACAGAACCTGCACAATCCTAGTCAGTTTCTAGCATCCATTAGACATCCTCTCCCGCCCGCTCAGATCGCCCGCTCGCACCATCACAGCCGATTCCCAGCCGATTCCCACACAGATACTGATGAAGTGCATTGCGGCGGGGACACCATAACGCACGCGCCCCCCAAATTGCCATGGTTACTCTTCCCAACGTTCTGCTTCGACACCAACTGGATGAGAGATCAGTCAATCGCAACATATCGTATGCCAGCATCCTCGATGGGAGATGGACTCTTCTTTGCCCTCAGCTGATTGGGTATGCATTTCTGCTTTAAGTTAGCTGATTTGAATGTTGATCACCTTGGGCTTTTCCGGTTCTCGCGGAGGGATCTTGGGTGCTGTGACGGTGAGGAGACCATTCCGGCATTGCGCGCCAATCTTATCCAGCTCGGCATCTTCTGGCAGAGTGAACCTGCGCACGAACTTGCCCACTCTCCTCTCCATCCGCAGGTACTTGAATTGCTTCTTCTCCCCGTTCTCCTCCGCCGCTGACGCTGACGCGTCTCGCCTGCGCTTGTCGCTGATCACGAGCGTATTGCCGTTCTCCACGTGCACTTTCACGTTCTCGCCGCTAAGTCCCGGCACGTCCGGGACGAACTCGTACGACGTAGGTGTCTCCTTCACGTCCACCGCCGCGTTGGCCATCGCCTGTCGCTCCTTCATGTACTCCCATCGCGACTTGTCCGCTGCCGTCGACGAGTTGACGTCATCCTCCACGTCACTGGAGAAGTCCGCTATCTGTTCTAGCGTGCTCATCAGCGATGCCATGCTCGCGTCTGGAAGGACGATTCTGTACACACCCATCTTTGGAAACGCGCCAACAGCCCCCAATCAGGAACCTTGATGAGCTTATTAGATCAGATCATCGACACAGATGACGTCGCTCGATGCCCGTTTGACCGTCAATCGATCACAAAACACACTTAATCAACGGCGCGCAATGGAATCGGCAGACTAATCAATTCTGAATAACGGATATGCACACGTGCATACAGCCCGCAGCAAGCGTCTTGTATACCTGTAGAAAGTGACGTGGCCGCTGAGATCCACCGAGTTATAGTAGTACTGCTTCGACAACTATGCATGGGCAGCTACAGAGTGAACTACGAAGATAACACACCTGCGTGCAGCAGCCCCCAGCAAACACGTTCAAACGTGCCACGTGGCAGAGAGATGAAGGGATGACAGACACGTCCAGCTGACCGCTGACGTGTACGCCGCGCTGGATGGACCTTGCCCCACTCAAGATGGCACTACAATGAGCCGAGGGACGCCTGACTACAGAGCGAGGACCCGCGAACTACACTGATCGCAAACCTCTCGACTACAGGATGGGCGAAGAAGAATGCGACGGACAGCAAAGCAGTCGACCAGTGAATGACAGACGGGAGGCTTGAGTGCCAGTCCCTCCGCCGGCGAAGCACTTGCCTGCCTGCCAAAGGAATCGACAACAGAGACTCAGAATGGTGAGACGAGTGTAGGGTGTTCGCCGAGAGAGGGAGAGAGAGAAATAGCACAGCGAGCCACAACCAAGTCGCATGACTGGTAGTTGCCTATACTTTTACTAGAAGAGCAGTCTCTCTCATATGTATGGGCACAGACTTCCTCTCAAGCAGGAAACAGTCAGGTACTCGTTCGTGAAGAAGTGCAAACACTCGCGGATGTGAAGAAGTGCAAAGACTCGCAGATGTGGAATGCTTTGCCACAAGCAAGCTAAAGAAGCGTCGTAGATATCAACAGCCCCGTGATTTTATTGTTCAACTTGAAACACAAGTACAGTCATTTATTTATTTATAGCTAGCGCACTTAGCCACATCGCAGGATGGAGGACGGCGGACGTCTCTTGCACAGGTCTCTTCCAGATAAATATCCGAAATGTGGTCCACAGATGAAGCCAGATAGCTCAGAAGTGAGTCAGAAAGGTGGGCCGCAGGCCCGCACACCGTGGGAAAGATCGAGGGTGGGCGGGACCGGTTCGCCAGGATCTAGGCAAGGAAAAAAGGACTCGACCTCAGAGGGATCTGACTCCTGTGTGGTGTGCGCGCAGGTTCACGTTTGCGATGAATGCCGCGGGCAGCCGGAGCCTGGAAGGTGTGGCGCGGGAGAGCACTCAAGCAATTGTGGCTGGTCAGACGCCTGTAACTTATACAGTCGCGGGCCAGGGCGCTGGGACCGGGAGGGCCAGCGAGGCCGTGCTCCAACCTGGGTGAGTTCCACGATACTCAAGTTGCGCAATTGCCCTCCTGCCCCAAATGCTTGCGCTTGCAGGTCTTGGATTGATAGGATCGATGGTTGCCAATCGCGGCGGAGATGCAAGTGAAAAACCAACCACCGCCTCAGATGGTCCCAACCGTGAAAACAAAAACTGTTGCTGCTGTAGGCCGTAGATCCTCTCGATAAAGCATCTGAACCATAGAAATTGAGTTTGTTGTCGGGGCCGCAAATAGGCGTAATGTTTCGATGGCGTGCTCGGGCTGTTTGCAGTCGGGTATCGGTGACGTGCGCTGCGTAGCTTCTAGTAGTTCCCCTTTTTTTTTTCTTTTTTTTTTTTTGCTTCTAGTAGTTCCTAGAGTAGTCCAGCCGCACGACACTCTTGTAAAGAAAGGAAATCGATGAATCCAGACGCAACGAGGTTGAGAGAAGAATATAGAAAGAAAAAAAAAAAAAAAAAAAAAAGATCGAGACACGCTCGGCAAAGTCAGTCCCACTACCGTCTTCCCCGAACGCAATGCAACCCCATCTTGGCCGCACGTGACCGTAAATATAGCTTGTCTACATTCATTCATTCATTCTCAGGGTGCGTTATGCTCCGGTAGCAAGGGTTCAGTTTAGTCTTCCTTCCTGCCGTAGTGCCTTAAAATGTCGCCACGGTGCGGCCGTGAGATGCTCAGATCAGATGGTCAGAACCAGTCCGTACCCTAAACCAACGACGTGTGTGACGCTTCCCGAGCAATCTAGATAGAAGTCGCAAGGGCCTACAAATTTTTCCTGGACTGAATTTGGATGGATATGCGGCCATGTACGTAGACTGATACCACGCTCGGGTGTGGGGGCGTAGCCAGGTTGGCGGCGGACCGGTGACCAGCCTACACATTGCCCCTACTGGATAATTTGTGAAATACCCCTATAAGTTGAGTTACACCCCTCTGACATAAAAGCTACTTTGGGAAATGCCCCTGCCGTCGGTTGTACCTGTCATCTTTGCAAAATATCCCTACCGGATACTGTCCATAGTTTGACTTTTCAACTGCACTCCTGGAGCAGGTCGCGCCCAGATTCGTGATTCGGGCGTTGTTCTGGCGGCCATCGTAGTCTCTTCCCGTCTCTCTCTCTCTCTCTCTCTCTCTCTCTCTCTCTCTCTCTCTCTCTCTCTCTCTCTCTCTCTGATGGGGGTACTTTGCAAAGATGACCAGAGTGTTCCGGTCTACCCAGATCTTTTAGGTGCATTTTGGCATATAGCTCAACTTATAGGGGTGTTCCCTTAATGCCTGAATGCGGCCGTGTTTTGGGGTTCCTTCCATTGCCGCAACTGCACATTGCGAAGCTCTCGTAGGCTACCGGTAGTCGCCGGTCTGCCCCCGACCTGGCTGCGCCCCCACACCCGAGCGTGGTATCAGTCTACAAGAGTCAAGTAACGAGTGCAGTGTTCACGACGAAGGGAGAGTGAGGGCCTAGTCCCTCGGGACATCCGTTACATACATGATGGTAGAGGCCACTCGCCAGAGAGAGCTTGTGAAAGTAAGTAGACAATGGATAAGTGAGCAACTGTGATCGCCATCATCTTGGTCTGAGGGGCGATTACGTATGGCACTCACTCTTTCTTTTCTTTTCTTTTCTTCGAGCCTGAATCGGACTAAGATAGAGTCCTTAGATGTTGTATTTAAGGTAAACAACAAGTTCCAAATAATGGGAACTACCCAATAATAAATAAGAAAAAAAACCAACAAGAAAGAAATTACACTCAAATAGAACAATTTTGTCCATTGGACCCTTTGTGTTTTGTAACAACTAGGAATAACAAAACACCAAATTTGATAACTGAAAAAAGGAAAACAAAAAAAAAGGGCGAAGCTTAGGGAAATTTGCATATATGTTTTCAAAGCTTCAGTCATTTGTGTGCAAATAAATGATGGTTTTTCTATGCGTAGAACAAGAAAATCAAAAATGGACTATATCATTCTCTGAGTTTTTGTTTTGATTGCAATATCAAGTCAATCTGTTTCGAAAATTTAGGATTCAATAATGGGTTGCACAGAGGTCGCTTTCTTTATCAGGTCAACCAGCGTCCAAGCATACCGCTACCGATAGATAAGGAGGCCTTTCTTATCTTAAGAAAACGATGGTCAACTCTTCTTTAAGCACAGCGTAAGCAAATTCCACTGTGTCAGGCACGCCACAAAGGTTACTCAGGTTGGAGAGCCCTGTGATGGGCGACCATCTCGCACAGTTCGGAGAGCACTTGTTACGGCTGAATAGAACGTTTAACTACGGTCTATTTGTTTGATGGTTGACTTGCAATTTTGTTGAATAGAAATAAGATCACCACTGGAAACTTGAAAGCTAGGCCGAAGGATAATTTGATTATTAACACAAATATTTTTATGACTTATAAGTTGTCTTGCTGTAAAAATAGTAGAGCAAAAATTCACACGTACAAGAAGAATGTCCAATCTTTTCTCCATTAATAATAACAAACTCTTTTGTTTGTCTAAATAAGTATACGTTTTTTTTGCTACTTTCTGAGGTGCCTCTTACCGGGTGGTGGATATGCTCACCTAGGTTTGAATTGAAAGAGGCAGATTACCCAATTAATTGGGGACAGGAGGCGAAACGACATCTCGTTACAACACAGCCTTAAAATTGGAACGATACAGAGAAGATTAGCATGGCCCCTGCGCAAGGATGACACGCATAAATTGAGAGTGAGGGCCTCGCCACACCACTCTCGAGATGTGCGAAATGAGAATGAACTTCCTCCTATAACATGGCCAGATGCGATCGCTACATTTTTGTCTTTTGCACATTTCGAGAGTGGTGTGGCGAAGCCCTGAGTCCAGTATAGGACAGCGGACAAATCCAACAGCGGCACCTCTGGAGGCAGTGGGTGGGCAGCCGGTGGTGGTGGGACTGGTGTTGGGAGGAGCACGTGAGAACTACTGTTGACTATCTCGATCTCGACTGGGAGCATGAGCAGTTGAGCATGAAGACCTGAAACTCTACGGGCAGCGGCGCCACCAATGGGAGTGGGAGTTCCTCGCCGCCCGTGGGAGTGGGAGTTCCTCTGGTGGTGGTGATGCTCCGTTGGAGTTAAGGGCGCTGAGTGTTAACTAAGCCACTCTCTAGCACGAAATATTTAGAGTGCATTAATCCAGCCATATTTTTTTGCTCCTTATAAGTGGCTTACTTCATGACTATCCTGCACTATAATATCTAGAAATATTGTCACCCTCTTTCAAGCTCCTCCTGCTATGTGCTTTGGTGTCACTGGCGGCAATCTTGATTGTATTTAGTCATTAGTATTCCGTATCTGGGTGTATGTTTCGTTTGGTGCACTCTTCCTTTGTTTTCTTCTATGCAAAACCTGGTGTAGTGCAGTAGTTTGCTCATACTTTGCATTGGGTCCTAAGGTTGGATTCAGGCAACCCTCCATCCCTATTCCCATATCAGATCCTTAGTATAACATGGTAATTCCAAAATTGCGTGTAACGTTTATCTCACCGAATCTTACCTAATCTAGAGGCTGTTTCAAGGAATCTTCACTGCGGGTTCTCGGCTTTAGTTTGGATGGTAAATGTCGAAGGTTGGGGGTTGTTCGTAGAAGGCAACGGAACTATTGGAGGTGGTGGGAGACCTAATAGTTGTGGGAACGTTGCTGACCTACTATGGCACAACTGAATAGCAATTAGCTGTCAAGAGCGCAAACATGGGTTGTACC